AGCATTACGATGTCATTACATCCATGCCTGCTTTTACAGGTTATCCCTACCACTGTGAAATTTGTGACCAAGGATACGCCAACACTCAAGATCATTGCTGCACCCGAGAATTTCGATGTTACTGGTGCCAATGTCCTGGATACTGTGGCGACGTGGTCAGTGAAGGACTCTCCGGGTCTCCAATGTGGCGGATGGTTCCGAAACTCGTACTGCTTTCAACATCATCGGAAGGCCTCCGCCAAGCAACCGAGCACCTGCTCAACCATCCACACCTGTCATCGATGCATGGCCAAAGTCAATGTGAGAAAAATCCAGGGTATGGCCAACCACCAGTGTGGCACGAATCGTGACTGCAAGATCTGCAAGGAACCCTTGAAACCCAACCACCGGTGTTACATGACCGTCATCCAACCACCGAAACAAAACGAGGGTAAAAACAAGGATGAAGACAAAGAAAGACAACAGCGTCAGTTCATCTTCTGAATTTTGAATGTACCCAAGATCAAGGGACTCATGTTCCCAACTTGTGCGTGGTGCATCTGGGATGTGGAAAATGTATTTCCAAGGCCTCGGATCAACTGTGCGAAAAGTGTCCCTGGCGTAAAGAAGGAGAAGGACCTAGCCGCATCAAAGTGTTTCAGGGATCCACGACCTTGAAGGACATGGGCGACTGGCTGATGCGTCTGGCGGAAAAGAAACAGAAGAAGAAACGTAAGGCACCCGACCAACAGTCGTCAGGGGCGCGCCTCAAACAATCAAACCGCCATCGCCAGAACCCTATGATGATGATGATGTAGAACTAGAACAAGACGACGACGAGGAGGAACAAGACGACGGTGAAGAGGACATTTCCCTACCATTGATGATGACGACGTGTTGGTCATTGCACACAACTACCGTGGCTATGATGGACACTTGCTCCTACAGTACTTCCATCAACATCTCGGTGAAACCACCTCAGGTCACACTTCGAGGGGAATCTCATCTTTCACATGACCGTGGGAAGCGCCTCGTCTTCAAAGATTCACTCAATTTCCTCACGATGGCTCTGAAGCAGTTTCCAAAAACGTTTGCGTTCACGGAACTCAAGAAAGGTTACTTCCCTCACTTCTTCAACACCGAAGCTCACCAAGGCTATGTGGGCCCTTATCCTCCCGTGTCTACCTACGATCCTGATGGTTATGTTTTCTGCCGAACGCAAAGCTTTCTTGGCCTGGTACGATGCACGCGTGGCTGAAGGAGCTGTCTTTGATCTGAATGAGGAATTGTTAACTTATTTAACTAATTGCGTCGAAGCTGTGCTGCATTCCGCAACATGTTCATCCAACAGAACGACGTGGACCCTTTCTATGAAGCAGTGACACTACCCATGGCTTGCATGCTCTGAAAACTGTTTTTGGAACCCCACACCATCGCCATCCTACCTCCACAAGGTTACTGTCCCCAGCGTCGCTACTCTCTGCAGTGTCTCCACTGGCTCAACTGGGTCATGCATCAACACCCCGACCTCCACATCGAGCATGCCCGAATGGTGGAAAAGTAGGCTTCGACTGTGCTGATGGTAGTCGCTACACGGTGGACTACTACGACGCTGAGACACGCACCGTGTACGAATACTTGGGCTGTTTCTGGCACGGATGTACTCACTGTTACAAGACGGACCGATGTGAACCCCACAGGACCTTGGGTACAACCCCTTGGGAATGATACCATCATACCAGATACCGACTGGGGGTGTTACGTCAACGTCCCGACATCGCCCAAGTGGTGACCCTGTGGGAATGTGATTTTCGGAAACAACAGAAAGACAACGCTGATCTGAGAGCGTTCCTGACCACACTGCAAGGCCCTCATGCCTACATGCCTGACCCGTTGGATCCCAGAGAAGCCTTCTATGGAGGACGCACCAATGCCACCAAGTTGTACTACGAAGCCAAAGAAGATGAAGAAATCAAATATGTGGACGTTTGTTTGCTGTACCCTTACATCTGCAAGTATGGCACTTACCCCATGGGGCATCCCGAGATCAAAGATCATCCTCCCGTGTCAGATTTGTTCGACCTCCATCGACTCATCCAGTGTCGAGTCCTGCCACCCACTGACCTCTACCATCCCGTTCTTCCTTACCACGGCCAGGGTAAGTTGTTATTTCCTCTGTGTCGTGCTTGTGCTGAAGCACAGTGGGATGGTTCCTGCCCCCACGAGGATGAAGACCGGGCATGGATCGGCACCTACGTCAACAAGGAGCTTCAGTATGCCGTTCGAGAGTGCGGCTATCAGGTGCTTCATATCTTTGAGGCTTGGCACTTTGACACGCTCGCCACCTACGACCCCGACACTTAAGAGGGAGGCCTGTTTGCCAAGTATGTGAAGAATTTCTTCAAGATCAAGCAAGAGGCCAGCGGATACCCCGAAGGTTGTTCAGACCAAGACGCTTACATCAGGGAGATTCAGCGAAAAGAAGGAGTCACCTTGGATCCCGCTCACATTCGCAAAGACCCAGGACTACGTGCCATGGCTAAAGGCTGCCTGAACAGCCACTGGGGCAAGTTTGGCCAACGCGTCGGGTTTGACAAGACCGAATACATCAGTTCCCCTGAGAGATTCTTTGCCCTCTTCCAGGATGAATGTTGTGTGGTAAAAGATGTGCACTTCCCCAATGAGTAGCTCGCGTGTGTCATTTACGAACCTCAGGCAGAATTTCACGACCCGCATGCTGCCGACAATGTGGCCATTGAGGCCTGGGTGACAACACAAGCCCGTCTTAAGCTGTATTCCTACTTGAAACCCTTGGATCGGCGCGTCCTCTATTTTGACACGGACAATATCATCTACATTCACCGTGCGCAGAACAGCGACCACCCTGACATCTACAACCCTCCACTGGGAGATACCTTGGGGGAGCTGACCGATGAACTGGGAGGCAACAGCATTCAAACCTTTGTCTCGGGAGGACCCAAGAACTATACCTACAAGCTGCGCCATCCTCAACCTGACGGTAGTGTGGCCACCAGCAAAGTCCGAGGATTTACTCTGAATCACAGAAGTACAAGGATTCTCTCATCGACAATCGGCACAAGATCGTGGTGACGGAATACCTCGATACATCGGATACAGCCACTGAGCGGCTCCTTGAAATCCTCCAGGAAGAGCGTTATCAGGTGAAGGACTGGGGCCTCTTTGATGAGGATTTTGCATCAGTTACGCCGTGTGTAAGCCTGAATCAAAGATCCAGAGAACACATCCCCAGGTGGTCTCCCTTCTTCCTCCTGGGCAAGGGAGTTGCCTTCTATCATTGGCCATTATCAACACAACATCGTGGTGACGGAATACATCGATTCTTCCTCTCAAAGTTCCGGGGAAATCTTCCGGGATGAAAAAACGCTATCAAGTGTTGTACCCACGACATGCTCTGTTATGATGTACTGATGTTTAACTCATACCATGTTTGCCTTGTTCATCTGTTGATCTATCATTCAATATAATGTGATTGTCTTGCGCTCTTGTGTTGCGTTGTCTCTCTTCAGGGCCAGACCTAGTGGAGTCCATGGTCACCCTCAACCCTGTTGTACCCTGTTCTTAGACTCAGACCTGGTGGAGTCCATGGTCACGTTTACCATGTCATATGTACTGTAACAAAAGGGAGGAGAAGGGAGAGCAGAGTGGCGCAGTGGAAGCGTGCTAGGCTCATAACCCAGAGGCCCGTGGATCGAAACCACGCTCTGCTCTGTATTTCTTTTTTTCTTTCTATGTTATGAATACACCCCCCCTGAGGTGGGGGTGACGTCATCCATGGATGACTCAAGTGACATCATCACGACCCTGTGTATATATAAACAGACGTTTCTGTCAGAGTCATTACAGATTCTGCTGTCTAAGGAAAGAGAGGATGGAACCCGTTCACCGCGATAAGCTTAGGTCGAAGCCGTGGTCGACAAACTGATGGCGTTTAATGTCCTTACCATCCTCATGAAGGCAGAGATTATCTAAAACCTCGGACCTCCTTTGACCGTGTCAGAGAGTTGTTAGATATGCTTCCCCGATGTGGACCCCAAGCATACTCCCTCTTCTGCAAAGCTTTGGAGGAATGTGGAGAGACAGAAGCCATGACGTTGCTGGGTCTCGAGACTCAGTGACGTCATCCATGCACGCCCCACGTGACGTCACCCTGTGTATCTATATAAAAAAGGTGTTTCTGGTCCAATTGTTATTTGTCAACATGTTGTTCACGCTGCTCTTTGTGGTTGCCACCTATCTAGAAGAGAGACACTTTTTAGAACAGTTCAGAAAAGCAGTGCAAGACACTGTGCAGAAACAACACGATCGTGACGTCATTTAAAGTGACGTCATAGCTCGCGCTGCTGGTGTTGCCTATAAAAACGTCGAGCGGGTCATCAGTTGCACCAGCTCAGTCGTTGAAGATGGCATCTCCAGGCAACCTCCCTTCTTCTTTCGTCAACTTGGCTTCGCAGGCAAAGGACCTAGCTTCTGACATGGCCCATCTCCACAACAACATGATGGCTCAAAGCCAGTTATACAAGACCAACTACATGGATCTCCAGGACCGGCTGCGTGTGATGGAACAAAAGTTGCCGTCGATCATCCGTAAGCTGGCAGGTATTCATCCGAAAAGAGAAACACTGTATGGAATGATGGGTCGCTTCTGTGAGTTGACTGAGGAAGACTATTACTGGATGGTATATCACCAAGACCACTTAGAGATCCTCTCCGACAGTGCCAACAAATCGGTTCGCTTGATACTCATAGGTATCAACGATGCACATGCCAAGGAAAATGCAGGGGAGACCTTCCTCAGCAAGCTGTTCCACATCGTGTTCAAGTTGACGATTGGACGTCCTATGGCCTATGACCATGGTGTGCTGTACAGCAAGCTACTGGACAAACTCCAGGTGAAACTCTGGCCTCACCCACCCAGCTATGATCTTCGATATGCCACCTGCACTCTACCTTTGTTCTCCAATGATCCAGATGTCACCGACATGATGCCCAAACCTGTCCCTCGAAAAAGAATACCTCCCAAGACCACTCCTCCCAAGACTTCCTCAAAGAAGAAGAAGGCAAAGAAGGAGGCCCCCACCAAGACACCCACCAAGAAGCTTCACCTCCCAAGACATCCACCAAGAAGGCACCCCCAAAGCCTAAGAGTCTCAAAGCACCCCAGACTCCCAAGAAACAGTTGGAGATTGCTGACTTGTGGGTGAACTGTCCACAAGCCAGCCGTGCTAGGGTTGAAGAGAGCAAGAAGGGCCAAGGGATCCCTCTGCTAGCCCCAAAGAGATATCCCAGGAAGAGTTACCTCCAGATCTTCAACACCTGTATGATCTACTCCCAATGCCTGTCATCATGGAAGCAGAGCAGACAGCTCCAGAGAGGACTCCAGAGACGGCTCCAGTGATGGCTCCAGAGATGACTCTGCAGACAGATCCAGTGATGGCTTCATTGACGGCTCCAGAGGAGCCAGAGGGCATCATCGACATCCCCATGTTTAACGATGAAAATCATTTTCATCCCGGTCAAATGGACTTTTTACGGTGTTCTACTTGCAATCCCGATGATCACCTGAACTGGTGGTGATCTCTTGATGTACTGTTGTTGATCTGTTGATGCATCATTATTGTTGATCTGTTCGCCATGGTTTGTTCCTCAATAAAATGTGAATTCCATTTCAACGGGTTGCATCTTCTATATCTTCAGGGAGCTTAGCTCTTGGAGGTCATTTCAGTGCAACCCGCAGGGTGGTAAGACGTGTGTCAGTATGTCAGGGGACACTATCAGGGACAGGGTCAGACCTGGTGGAGGCCATGGTCACCCCACTCACGTTACGTCATCCCTTTACCATGTTGATTGCAGGCCCTACAGGGTCGGGTAAAACATCGTTTGTCAAAGCCTTCATGGAACATGTGTTTCAACCGGGGATCCTTGATCTTCCACCTCAGGGCATCGTGTGGGTGTACAGTGAATGGCAACCCATGCATGAGGACTTGGAAGTTCTTACCTCGAGGTTAGGGATACCCCTGACGTTTGTGCAATCCGTGGGGGAAGCCAACACTCAGTTACCTGCAGGGTCTGGGGGTAAGGCAGAGGAGGGTTTGACTACGCCCCATTGGTTGATCATTGATGATTTGCTGAGCGACAATACCAAAGAGGAAGAGGCTGAGGTCCTGCGATGGTTTACCAAGAAAAGTTTGCTTCATCGCCTCATCATCGCACCATTAGTTTAAATGCCCACTACATGGTGCTGTTTAAAAACCCGAGGGACGCTTCGCAAATGGATCACTTGGCCAGACAAATCTTTCCAGGACAGACGGCCTTCCTTCGGGAAGCCTATGAGGATGCCACTTTGACTCCTTATTCCTATCTGTTTCTGGACTTGAAACTTACCACGGCCAAAGAGCACCGTGTACGGTCCCATCTCTTTCGTAACCCCACCACCCTTTACATTCCCAAGTAGGGATAAATAGAGATGACCGTCTACCCTACGGTCAGTTGACCCAGAGCTGCCATGGGAGACAGACGGAAACAGACCCAGCCCCGCAAACGTGCTGTTGCCACAACGTTGTTTAAACCGATCCATAAAACACTCCTGACCACCTTGGGTCGTGATCCCACCGAACAACATCGGTCGAGTGTGCAACGGTTGTACGAAAATCTAAGTGCTCCTCCTCCTCCCTCTGCTTCCTTCTCCAAACAAAGACGTTCCTTAAAGCAGTTGTACCCTACATCACCCACCATGAACACGTTTGTCCCTGTCAGTACGCATCGTGCCTCTCCTGCCACCTTCTCTCCCCCTTCTTCTTTTCCGTCCTCTCCCCCTTCATTCCCATCGTCTCCCCTCTCTCCCACCATGATTCAACCCTTTCAACCCTTGACCCAACCTCGTACCACCAGCACCAAACGCAATGGCAACAAACGCACGGGTGCTAAACGTCCCAGCCCTGGCACCCCACGCACAAGAAGCCACAGAAGTATGCCCGCCCGCAGAAAAGTCAAACTCATCATCGTGAAACGGCTGCCTTCGGCGGAGAGCGTGGCTGTCAAAGGACGTCATCGGCTGTTGCAATGGTTTGTCATTGCCGTGAGAAATCTGCGAGCAGGACGTGTTCCTTTGAAGACGCAACACAAGACCTGGCTGTTGAGGCACCAAGATGTGCTGACCAAGATTGCGAATCCACGCCTGCCTATGGATGAACGTCTGAATTACCTGATGAAACGCAGTGGAAGTGGTACGTTGGCTGGTGTTTCGACCCGTATCTTGCTGAACTGACAGACGACAGCGGCATTACCCCCACTCCCTCCAGCGACATTACCATAAATAGAGGCTTCCCATCCCCATCCTGGTCAGTTCAACGCTAGCAGCTGCAGGGACGACACCATCATGTCTGCACGTTTGAAACATCACAAAGAAGCGCTCTGTCATGTGTGTAGTCCTTCTGCGACACCAGCCATGCGACAGGCTATTTTGAAACAGGCCCCATCGGAACTGATTCAAGCCATCTGTGAATGCGTGGTGAATTTGTATGGAGGCATGCCAAGATGAAGCATGCACGGAAGATGGTGATGGTCCCAGAAGAGGTATGGCAAAGTCTACAAGAAGAAAAACGTCAACGGCATTTGCTCAAGTCCAACCTGTTGGAACAGAAACGCGTGCACACGCTTCACGATATGGATACCCTCGTCAGTGATGACACGGTTCCCTTTAGGGACCGAGAGCAGCAGTATAACACCTTGTTGCAACACAACTTGGCGTTTCAAGACCAAGCCGCAGCCAAACCTTTAGAGGCAGCTGGCACCCCTAGGACTGGCACCCCCAGGACTGGCACTCCCAGGGTTGGAACCCCCAGGGATGGGGTACCCAGGGAGGGAACTCCTCACCGTAAGTAGGGTTGACTTACTGAGTCACATGCGTGTTCCAGTGGCGTAGAGGACGCCTTCCTAAGAATGAGTCCGCGAAGCACATGGCAGAGCAGTGGCTCATGTTTTTTTTGTTGCTTCAGAACCCGATGTCGAAGCCATTCTGCATGAAGTCGTGCAAACGGTTCCCAAAATGCTACAACAAGCCAAGGCCAAGCAGTTGATGGTGGATCACATGGTGGATCTCATCAATGATCTTGTTCAACAACGTACCAAATCAGACCCTCCACGGGGTTGGAATATTCTGGGTCAGTATCTCGCTTCCAGCAACGTACCCCATGAACTGATTGGCAACCCCTCTACGTTGGTCCTGATGATGAAAACCAAAGGGTCATCCACTCAGCCTCCTGACACCCCATGAAGCGTCAACACCATCCACCCGCTGACTTGTTTTGACACCACCCGCATCCAGCCTTCCTCTGGAACCCCAAAGAAGAAGAAAGCTGCAGAGACTCCTCCTCCTCCTCCCCTCTCAACCGGGTTCGTCAGTGGATTCACTTTTAATAAAAGGGAGCAGAGGGTGATGTCAACGACAGTGTCATCATGAAAACGTCAAAGAGAAACAACAACATCAGCAAAGCACCATCGTCTTTGTCTCCTGCATGGACACGATGGCTCCACAACACCTATTACGATCCCAAACACCCAGCAGGCTATGGAGGGTGGCTTGCCTTGTGGCAAGCAGCAGCAGGACATCAAGCCAAAGCAGGACCCAGGAAGGGGGGACCCAGAAAGGGAGGGCGCAAAACGGGGCCAAGACCCACACAACGCCAGGTTCGCCAATGGTTGAAAACCCAGGACACGTACACCTTGCACAAACCAGCCCGACGCTCGTTTCCCAGGGATCATTACTGTGTGGGTGGCGTGGATGAATTGTGGCAAGCCGATCTGAGCGATCTCCTTGCATATCAGAAAGAGAACCAAGGCTACCGGTATTTGCTGTGTGTCATCGATGTCTTCTCCAAAATGGCTTGGGTGCAGCCCATGAAAGCCAAGACCGGTGCCACTTTGATAGAGGCCTTTCAACGGATCCTGAAACAAAGCCAAAGGACGTGTGCCGTCCAGTTACAGACGGACAAAGGGACTGAATTTGTCAATGCACCTTTTCAAGCCTTCCTCAAGAAACGGGGTATTCATTTCTACACCAGTCAAAACCCAGAAACCAAAGCCTCTGTGGTGGAACGTTTTCAAAGGACGTTGAAAAACCGTATGTGGCGTTACTTCACCCAACAGGGAACACGGCACTACCTTAAGGCATTACCCCAACTGCTGCATTCCTACAATCATCGCGTCCATCGTACGATTGGACAACGCCCCGTGGATGTACGTCCTAACACTCCCTACGATGAAGTTCAGGTGTTGGATCACATGGAACACCGTTTGACAAAGGGTAACTTCCCAACTGGACCACTGAACTGTTCACCGTGGATCGGGTCGTGAAAGGACGTGTTCCTCCTGTCTACCGAGTGAAAGATGATCATGGAGAAGTGCTGCAAGGCACATTTTACCCGCAAGAACTGCAACCCATTCAGAAAACGGATGACGTGTACAAATTTGATCAGGTCCTGAAACGACGACGTCGTCAAAAAATATGGTCAGGATACCCTGCCAGCTTGATTCATGGGTCCCTGCTGCCCATCTGGTCTTTAAATAGCGTGGCCTCCAGTCTCCCACCGTCAGTGGAGCATCCACCATCATGCAGAGTGAACCGATCTCAAAGTGCAAGGAGGACGGCAAGCCATCCCCACTCTGGTGTTGCTTTGGCATGGACTTGCCACGAAGTGAAGTGGTGTTTTTCTCCCAAGTGTTTCTGATATATGGCGTGGTCATCATGAGCATGGTTCAGTTGTCATTGGACAACGGTGAGAAACAGTTGTGGACAGCTTTGTTGGCCAGTTGCTTGGGGTAATTTGCCCCACAACCCACGTTGGTGTCGTCGTCGTCATCCACGTTGCCTCCTTCCTCGACTGCATCTCCAACCCCTCTGTATCCAGCCTGGTTCCCTAAGAGAGAGAGAGAAAGATGTCAGTGTCTGTGTTTTCCAAGCGGGACTTTTACGTGACCTTACCCAGCGATGCTTCACAGAGTGAATCAGTACGAAGTCAAACTACCCTTTCCTATTCAAGGAATCGCCAGGAGTGGGAAGTCGGCGTCAGTGAACTTCTTACTTTCCCATGACATGGTACAATGTGTCGTTCCCCTTCAACTGGTTTGTCCTTCATGTGAATTTGGAACGCATGACCCGGATTTACAGTTCAGCAGCACTCGATGCGACCGTGACAGAAGAGAACCCAGGCATCATCAGAGCAGTCAGTGAAAAGGTCATTATTCCAGAAGGAGTGTGTTCACAGCTGATGTTTACCAACAGGATGCTCGAGGCCGTTTCACCGTCACCGTGAACTACCCCAAAGAAGACCTCCGATTTGAAATGCGCGGCAAAACACATGTCAACTTTATGCTCCACTCTGAAGACATGTGCAGAGCCCCTCACGGGTTCCTGCAGAACCGCAACCCAACCTGGACCACGATAGCATCAGGCCCAGCCTCTACACCACCCGATTGGTGTTGCCTGCCCTTTAGTACGTATGCTTGGGATTCATACACCTGCCCATGGTGGACTTAGCAGAAGAAATAAGCCAAGTCTCTGCTCAGCCTGTCCAAGTGGGTGTGTTTGACCGTCCTCTCGTCGTGGGTGAACAGGAAGCACACCATCTGGCTGGTTTTGATACTGTGTACATCTACTCGGATGCGGTGGAAGATCAAATCGTCAGGGGATACCATGGCTCCTCTTACTGATGTATGTCCCCTGTCGCCAGATGATGGAAGACAGCGCATTGATCAAAACCAATCAGCACCTACGCTTACATGGGATTGCGTAAAGGGAACCACGGATGCCATTCGAATCCTATTTAACGGATGACGTAGACGTTTTCATTGATGCCATTCCAGACTGGGAAGACCATCGTGACACTTTCCATTTCATCCCCGTCGTCTGGGCATCGTACTGAGACTCAGCATGGTAGACACCAGTGTATCAGACACCACTGCGGCAACGTCTTGGGTGGACAACAGAGAGGAGGCACTTAACCGTAACGTGTACCGAGGACGCATTCATCAACAAGGAGAGGTTTCGGTAACATCTTGGGGAAACTTGGGACGTTCAGCTCCTCCATTCTCAAGATGGTGGGAAAAATCCGCTCAAAAATAGGCGTCAAGATGCTGCCGGGATTAGTGCAAGATATCAGTTCAGGCACCGTAGTGTGGGGACAGTTTGAAACATCATGGGAAACAAGCCTTACTCGCCACCTTGCGACAGCACCCACCACCAGAAGGATCGCGCGCAAAAGAAAACGGAAACAGGCCTTAGGGATTCACCAAGAAACGTAAACCCTTGTTTTGAGAGAAAAGAGATAAAGCCCCACCCCGATGGGAAAGGAGTTCAGTTCAACACCCAGACACTGTACGGTCAAGACCTGTTGTGCAGACCTGTGGTGCAGACCTGTAGTCCAGATCAGCGGTCAAGATGATGCGTCGGGATGCCTGCGAATGTTCCAAGGCCCAAGCTGGATCTCTTTTCTGCCTTATCCCCTGTGGTGGAAGCGGTCGGTCCAGGGGCTGTCAGTGGATTCGATACGGGTCCTCTGGCACCCCTTCGGTCACTTCCAGGCCCCCTCAATTTAACATTGTTCGCCCTCTGTCAATGCCTGTTACTGATTTGAGCTAGTGTTACCTCCACATCTGCCTCAAAATCAAGAATACAGATGGTACGGATGCAGTTCCATGATGAGTGATGGCGCACTCGGCGCGTCCACGGTGATGAACAACATGATGCATTCCCTCTTTCTACAGAGTGAGGAGTGCATTATTACCAGAGTGGGACACAACCAGCTGGAAATTACTTCTTCCATGGGTACCTATCCCTACCGAGGCCTATTTGGAAGCGTTGCTGGGTTATGGAAGGGTAGCCAAAGGGACGCATCTCTAGTGTCCAGGATGGTACACAGATGAAGCTGGAAAAATGGATCACTTTAATGCTGTCACCCCCGAATGCCAACGCAGGACTTGTCGCATCTATCGAGGGGCTTCTCCACCCAATTCAGACGGAACTGACAGGACGCTCCACTGTTTCTTCAAGACCAGTACCTGGTGGATGGAGTTCCATGAAACTAGAACCGATTTGCAGCCCGAAAGTGATTTCTACTTGATGAGTGCTGAG